TCACATTTTATGACTAATGAGTGAAGAAAACCATTTAATTCCAAAGGGTTCAATGGCTTCCTCTTGTCACTGTGTTTACTGACCACACCAGAGACAAACAACTGTGTACTTTGTTTTTCAAAGATAATAAACAACATAAAATGAATGGCTATATGTTCAGGTTGTACAATAAAAGCTTTGTTCAAAACTAATATAACACCATATACGCTTCTTACAACAAAGTCAGACATGCCTCTGTCTGGATTTTGGATCCAATTGTACCTATGTTATGATAAAACAATTATTTAACTGACAACTGTCATATTATCATGAGTCACTCAGCTTGCAGAGTGTATCTACAAAATCCTGCCTGAGGGTAAAGATGGTCCCATTGATGTCGTCCATCTTTGTTCATGTCCACAGGCAGTGAAAAGCAACCAGCTTCTACAGCTATCCAGATACAGCAACAGCAATGCACAAAGGTCTACAGACTAATCATGGTTCCACTCCTAATCAATCTACCCTGGTGAAAGAGGAAGGCTGTGGGCAAACCCCCAACATAGTTCCACCAATACAGTGTGTTATTAGACTTGTCACGCAGAGGATGAAGTTAAGGATAACCAGCACATCACACAGACAGTTGTGTGTGTGTGTGTGTGTGTGTGTGTGTGTGACACCAATCATACCTTCAGTCTTCAGATGTCGAATGGAGATCACTCTTCCTGTTAGTCTGATGTAAGTTCAGTGATTGTGACAGAAAAGAACAATGGTAGACAAACACTCAAAGAACACCATTCTTAATAAAGATATTCCATTATCTGGTGTGTTGATGATGCTGGTTGCGGGCACTTTTATCAGAGTTAGACTTTTAACCATTCAGCTGCAGTATCACATATAGACTGTAAATAAAGATGGATGTAGCCTCGGTGACTTCACCCATAGGCAGAGTGAGAATTATACAGTGACAATCAACTTTTTGTCAACTTTTTCTCCAGGGTGAATAGGAGAACCCAGTACAGAGCAGGCGCGTGCTTCAGTGAACTCAAGTGTTAGTCTTTACAGTATCTTGCTTGTTTAACCAAACCTGTCAAATACATGTAGTGGAGTTGGAAGTACAATATTTCCTTCCGACATGTAGTGAAGTGGAAGTATAAAGTACCATAAAATGGAAATACTCAAGTAAAGTGCAAGTACGTCAAAATTGTACTTAAGTGCAGTAGATTAAATAGATAGATAGAAACTTTATTTATCCCCTAGGGGAAATTCATGAAATGTACTTCATTACTTTCCACCACCGCTAATACAATTACTAAGCCTTCAGGACACGTGGATTTTAATATTGTCCAATGACCCAACAGGTAAAACCCCTGATTTCCTGAGTGAAAACAAAGGGGGTGTCTACTATAGGAGCTAATATCAAAAAGGTAAACTGTAACTTAAGGCTAACATTATAAACTAGCTAACATTAATTGGCTGAACTGTAATTTAAGGTTAACGTTATAAACTAGTTCACATTAGTTAGCTGAACTGTAACTTAAGGCTAATGTTAGACACTAGCTAACACTACAACTGTGCCTTAAGGCTAAAATTAGATTGTAGCTAACATTAATGCTAATGTGGATTAAAGGGCAACATATCTCACTTTGATGCAGGAGACAGTTATACTCTCATTACAAACTTTGAACTAGCATTCTATTTTTCATTAACCCTAACCTGATCTTTCCCTAACTGTAACCATAGCACAGTTGCCCTGTGCAGGTTGGAATAATTTTTACTGTTACTGGATGTAATTCAGGGTTTTGAAGAATCTTCCAATATGAACATTCTTGTCTGGTGGTAGGTTTCCCAGGGTTAACACACATGCAGACACACAACATTTTCACAGCTACAGAGCTTGCTGATCACCTGACCTGCATGTCTTTGGAGTGTAGAAGAAGCAACGTCCAGAGACCTGGCCAGAGTGAACTAACATGGAATCTCTGGTGTTCAAACCATAAACTCAGGAAAGCAAAACGGCTCTAATCATTGAACCGTTGTCCCACCCACCATCCTGAATTCAATCCCAAAATTCACAGGTAACAAGTAAAGGGTCTCCTCTCTTAGAGTGCATTAATAGTCTGGCAGTGTCATTCTGCATTGCTGCTGAGTTTTGTTTTTCCTGCTGGGCTCTGGATGAAGGGAGTTATCATAATCAGGTCTGTAGGATATTAACTACCTGTTGTTTTTAACCACAGGTTGTAGCCTGCACTAGTGGATGGAGTTGCTCTGTTGTCATGGAGATTGTTATGGTTTAGTTGTTTTATTTTATTGTTTTGTTACTTGTGCAAATAGAATTAAGAGGAAAAAAGTCAAAATAGCATAAGTGTAAGTTATACAGGATGTAAAAAAGATTGAGTTGAGTTATTCTTGGCGGCACAACATCCCTGTATACATAAGGACCCACCTGTGGAAACAGAGGAAAAGTATAGTGGTGTGTGGATTCCAGATAGATGTCATGTCGCCCTCTGGTGGCTGAAAATAAAATCCATAACACTCAAATGTGGAGAGATCTGTCAAGAAATGCCTCAGTTAAAATAGTACAAATCCTAATCATACAGATGAAGAGAAGAAGTGGGGAGCGAGTCAAAGAAACTGAGATTGTTCTTTCCCAAAAAAAGGTCCAAAACCCAAAAAAACATTGGAAACATTCCTATTGAACAAACAAACAACCACACACATGTAGGAATCAAAATAAGATCAGCAGGATTGGCTGTCTTTTCTTTTTGAAATTTATACAAAGGAGTATAATCCTGTTATTTTTAATGCAGTGCATGTCAGTTTGGGTAGGTAAATGGACTGAACAAAGATAATAGTACATTTACAGCACTGGAGCACTTGGAGGAAAGAAAACAGTAGTGTTGTAGATTGTAGGGGAGACTGGATTCTCTGTTACTCAGCGACTCTATGCACCAGACCAGTGGTTCTCAACCCTGTACCACTCATGGCCCACTCGAAAATGTCAGTGATGGGAGTGGTCCATTCACCAAAACGAAGATATAATGAGTAAGTGTGATATGATAAATGTCAAATAGATTTTAAAAACTATGCCTCATATGTCATGGTAGGACATGCGGCGCAGGTCCAGAACAGGGAGGGACAATATATCTCATCTGGACACCTTGGGATCCCCAAAGAGGAGAAAACTTGCTGGAGAGAGGGACATCAAGATGGATGGATGGATGGATGGCTGGATAGGTAGGTTACTCTATTTGTACTGGTAGTTAAATTTGGTTTGTTGTAAAAGTAAAAGAGTCAGCAGTCTTACACATACACATTTGGATGGATGGATGGATGGATGTCCTGCATAGATTTAATGTCACAAAAGGTTCTTTAAAATCTCTGGATCACAAGAATACACAGACCACGAATATGTAAAGTCACTGTACGATTTATTTTCAAAAGGGGGCCATCCTTAGAAAACTAGAGAAAGGGAATTAAAAATTGTCTAGTGTGGAGATAACCAACAGGGGGCACCAACACACAGTCCTTGGTACTACTCCTATACTTTTGTGCACTGGCCAATCACAGCTCCGTGCATCCTTGGGGAGGAGGTCTTGAGTGCGTGGCTGTGCATGGCCAAGTTGGAACCGTCTCTCAAGCCTGCAGCAAAACTGGTGTCAACCAGTTTGGAGCATAGCAGGTCCGCCCGTCTGCAGACCACTCTCTCTCTCCGGATCCCCGGTGACTGCTCCTATCAGCCTGAGATCAGAAAAGACCCACGTGTGCACCAATAACAGATCATATAAGTTAGGAGACTGGTTTGGAGATACACTCGCCTGGTGCCAATAAGGCTTGAAGCATATCAGATTCGTGGAACTCAATCTGGCCACACCCTCAGCTGGCTGCCTCTCCACTCCAGCCGAATGGTGCTGTTCGAAACAGGCTATGCGTAGTCCCTCCGTATACCTGCAGTCGCTCTCACCGACTGGGCTTCCCCTCACAGGCAGACCCCTCTCTCTGTTGCCACCCGAGGGAAAAAGAAAAGGGGGTCCTGTGCCAGATCTTCTGGCCTTATATAATATCAGTCCAATCAGATTGCCAGCCACTAATTGGGGAAACCTCATACTGGTGTGTCTTCACTAATTTGGGGATGCATCACAGCTGTATTGGGGAGAGTTAATTGGCACAGCACACAATGTTCACACAAAAAAACACTTAAAGAGCAAACATAAGTATCCTGAAGTCATAATCTCTCTCCAATTACAGACTGTGACATTAACATATGCCTCTACTGCCTTGGCAAGAGTTGAGAGTGAAATGTAGGTAAGGTGGGGTAAGGCCATGTGCCGCAGTATCATGTCTGGCCAGAGGCTCAGTTTGTGAACAGGCAAGGCAGGCAACTGCTTGGGGCCCCAGGATGTTAGAGGACTCCCAAGCGCTGACAAAATTTACTCCACAGCAATGTCTCAAAATGCCGCTCCCTCCCCTTTAAACATCCAATGGATGATTTGTGACAACATATCAGAAGCATAGGTGCCAACTATTTTAGGTAAAGCCTGCACATACAATTGCTAAGTTTCCAACAGCGCTCAGTAGGAAACCTACCTAAAGGGGCTTTATGTGTTGATGAACACTGGCCTTATAATGTGGGTTATTTACAATGTGGCAACATTGAAGTCATGTAGTTATTTATTTAGGTTTTTATTGTTATTTATATTATTTTGAAAATTACAAGGATTTTCAGTTATTTATATTTTTATTTTGAAAATTCTGACGTTAACAGTTGGAATAATAAAAAACAAAGACTTAGATTTTACAAATTTTTAGTTGGTGCCAGATTATTTACTACATAATGGTGATGAACGCTGATTGCCTAGGACCCCAACGGATTCAAGGATCGCCACAGCATCTCACAGTAAAAAAGGTTGGGAACCTGCTATAGAAATGGGACCACTCCAAACTGCAATCTAATCCCGACCTGTGGGTGGCATCAATGCGCCGTAAATCCAACGGAAACCCAGAAGAAGAAGAGGAGTCAACATATCAGCTCACAGTAATATCACAGAGGTTCAGTATTTAGTCAGTATCTTGTTTTCTCCTTTCTCCAGCTCTGCTTTGACTGTTCACCCGAGGAACATGTTGAAGCTCCAGAGTCTGAAGGTTTTCATCAACCAGCGGCTGACGGCGGCAGTGGAGGAGGTGATGGGCCGTTTAGAGAAAGCTATAACCGAGTATGAGGAGGAGATGGAGAGCCGCCATCAGAGGCTGCTGGACTCGGCTTCAAGACCCGAGGACGAGCAGCGAAGTGCAGGTAGGTATAATACTGCTTTATTGTTTATTTATTGCTGGTGTTGCACGGAGTCAATGATAAGCTAACGAAACTAGCCTGCTTGCTCCAGCTAACATAGCGGATGCTAAAATTGTCACCTGGGACCAAAAACACACCATTTGTCACATAACACCGGCAATGCTGCCCAGAGTTTAAATGAGAAGATTGGTTGAGTGCGATTAAAAATATTGCAAGACACAGATGTTGCAATTTCAGTTGGAATGATCGTTTTTTCATTTCATTCTCACTGAAAAAAGTGATGATGATGTCATTTTTTCATTGAGTCTTGTGTCAAACAAACATGTTCCTTTATGTCAACAATGTTGTGACACATTTTACGTTTATCAAAGAAATTGCAGCTCCTGTGCTTTGGATATTGCATTCGGCCATATCGCCATTTCGATTATATTTTGATTAATTGTGCAGCCTAACTCAGAGCCTAAGACTTCCTGTTTTCAGAGGTTACCAGATTCACCAGCTTCCTGTTGACAGAGTGTGTAGTCCTTCCAATTGGTTTGTTTTCACAGCCATGCTGGTACCTCAGTCAGGCTGTGCATAGACACAGCAGTGCTGGAAGGTAAATGCAAGCATTAACCCCCAAGGCATGAACTAAAGTCTCAGCTCCACACACGCCCCTCCTCTTTGTCTGGGAGTGAGGGGTGGAGTCAGTCACTGCCAAGATGGCGACAGTGGAGTAGCTCACTCATCAGCGCTTCAAAACTGCTCTTACAAAACCTGTGGGTGACGTCACAGAGGCTACGCTATCTTTATTAACAGTCTATGGGTAAATGCTGACATCAGCACACTAACATGCTGATGCTAAAGAATCTACATTTACTTTATTCGTTTAGTTTCACATTGAGATTAATGTGTTAGCTTTGCAGGTTTTTGGTCATAAACCAAAGTATTAGACAAAACAAATATTTTGACTGGAGGTGGCGCAAAGTAATTACAGTTCATCCTGAGGGGAACATGCATGAACTAAATTTCATGGCAATCCATTTAACAGTTGGTGAGATATGTTTGTCTTAACGTGCAGGACAGGCTGACTGACAGATGGACAGGAGTACAGTGTTACAGCTGTCCTGACAACAAGCTGTAAATGAATTTCTCTTTGGTGAATGCCAAGTTAACATTAATCAAGGTTTGAATCTCGGGTTGATTTACCTTTGACTCTGTGTCTGTATTTCAGTGTTTTCTGCAGATGTGCAGCAGCAGCTGGTGATTAAAGAAGAGGTTCTGTCTGAGCAGCAGGAGTGGAGTCCCAGTCTTGACCAGGAGGACCCGGGGTGGCCACACATTAAAGTGGAAAAACAGGATTTCTGGACTAGTCAGGAGGTCAGGGGTCAGGTTCAAGGACTGCATGAGGATGACAGCGCCAGGTCCTTGGACTCTCATATCCATGTGAAGGGAGTACATGAAGAGACGTTTCAGTCCTCACAGCTTCATCACAGACTGGAGGCTCCAGCCTGCAGCTCAGCCGAACACATGAAAACAGAGGCTGATGGAGAGGACTATGGAGCACCAGAACCAGACAGGATCTTAATATCTGGTTTTAAATCTCTATCTGGATCTGATGATAAGGCCTCACACTCTTCTGAAGCTGAGACTGAAGACAGTGGTGATGACTGGAAGAAGATGAGGAAACCTCAGACAGTAAATACTGTGGAAAATAAAGTTCCTGTCAGTGATGCAGGACCTAACACCAGCATTAAATCCTTCAGCTGCTCAAAATGTGGGAAAAGGTTTGGACAGAAGCATCATTTACAGACACACATGAGATGTCACACCGGAGAGAAACCCTTCAGTTGTTCTCTTTGTGGTAAGAGATTCACTCAGAAGGGAAATCTGACTCAACACCTGACCGTCCACACACGGGAGAAACCATGTAACTGTCCTGTTTGTGGGGAGCGGTTTTCACAGAAAGGAAACCTGACGCAGCACATGACGGTGCACACACGGGAGAAACTGTGTTGGTGAGAGACTGACACAGAAGACTGAGCTGCATTCATCACAACAGCTGTTTGTTGGTTTTCAGCAGCAGTGAAGTAACTCACTTTGTTACATCCAGCTCAGGACTTTCACATAGCTAAGGTACTGCAGTAACAGCACTGACATGCCTCTGTGGCTCAGGACTGTAAATGTGCAGTTACAGGCACAAGTTGTTCTAGAAGTTACTGGGTCATATGTTCCTTTTTGTTTTTGTCTTAAAGTTCAACCTTTGTGTATCATGTGGGGAGGGGGTCCAAGGTTTACCTCTCAACATCTGCAAAGTAACAGCAGCTCACAGATGTATCATTACATTGTGTTGAGACACACACAACACATTACTACAACCTGAAAAATGAGTGCCATACTATATTCATTAAATATATGACAGAAAAGGAAACAGCTGTAAATTGATGAGATTCAAATGTTGATAATGAAAGTTTCAGCTTTGTAAAATGTGTTATGTTAAATGACCAAGACCAGGTCATACATAATACAGTTTGTATTGAGAGCCACAGCCCACAGTGAGAACATAGTGTATCAGCATGAAGACTCACAGTATGTGGACTCCTGAGTGTTCAGCCCATGTGTGAGAGTTGGGCCTGTGGGCCTGTGGTCCCTTCATTAAACGCCTCTATAAGCACTCAGGTCAATGATGGCATCGTACCTCAATAAGAAGTCAGATGAATTATTGTTTGTTCCAGCTGAACTGTTGATATTTCGTCGTCTAGTTTCTCTTCATTCTCTGTGAAGTGAAATTAATGACGTCACTCAGGCCTCGAGTCATTTTAACAAGACCTTTTTTTTCTTTAACAGCTTGACTTCCATCAGCATGATTTCATCTTCAAACCAGCTGAAGTCCTCACAGGTCTGCAGGTCTCTGACTCACCAGTCGTTAGCACAACCACTTCATATGTCAACTGTTTCTAAGGGGCTGGTTGATTTTACCTGAGATCATTATCATAATTAACTGTCACATTTACCTCAGTAATGAAACAATCTCACAGTGGAGCTGCTGTGAATTCTTTCTAGTGTTTCTAGAACACAGGAAATCATGGATCATGACTGAAGAACATTTAACAGGAAAAACAAACGAGCTGTTTCACATCTATTGGCTGTAAGATCAGTTTTGATTAGATTTAAATAACTTGTGTTATCTCACATGTTTGATGTAATGACAGTATCTGATCATTACAGTGAGATTATTTTACATGCTCATGGCAGAGTCACTGTCCTCAGCTGCTAGGAAATAAAACTCTGTGCTCTGCTCTAGAGGAGCTGGAACATTTTTTTTCTGACCAACTGTTTCTCATGCTGAACATTAAAGTAGGTGTACATCAGTGTGTCTCTTGGTCTGGAGCTGGGAGGGTGGCTTCAGGGATCTTTATGTATGTTTAAAGCCAATAAACAGAGAGTGAACACTTTGAATGATCTGTTTTCTTATTGTATAAATGGACCTTCTCAATGTGCTCTCAGTTGTTAGTTAACATGTCTTGGTGCAATCATTTTTCAGAAAATTTTAACAAATGAAAAATTAAAAAGTGATGGGGACAAAATCGGCCATTCTGGCCACATTTAAATCTGGCACACACAGAAAATCCTCCGGCTGTCAGCCAGTACCGGAGGATAATATCCAGATTCTGCCCAGATGTGGGCCAAATATGGGCTAGACTCAGTCTGAGGACCCAGGCATATGTTATTTTCCATTTTGCTACCTGGGCAGCATCCTCAGTGTCTACATCATGGCTCCACAACCACCTCAACACTTCTCCTGCAGCTTCGATGATGTTCCTGGTGGATCTTTTTTCTTGCATCCCTCTGATGCCAAGGACAGAGATGTGGTGACCTGCAAAGCCCCAGCAGCTCACCTCATTGAATACTTTCTGAAGCCTATATCAAAGTGTCCTGCAGGATTCCTGAGAACTGGACAGTATCTGTACAATTTCCATAGTAATCCTTCACAATTGAATTTCCTGTAGGACTTGTTTTGTAAGTTTGTTGTTTAGATGTTGTATTTAAGTTTATTCTACTTCGAGTTTCATTTTATTCAAAATTAACCTTCACTTCTGTGACATCACCTCTCATGACCTGCACAAAGCATTTTGCAAAGACAAACTATTCCCTCAAAAAGGAAATGTTCAGTTTAGAGAGAGCAGAAGGAGCTTTGGAAACCTCTGTCCATTTAATCTGCATCTTTAAGAGCAAGTGGCTTAAAAATGTTTAGAACTCCCGGAGTCTTTATGGAATTTTATTCCTCACAATATGTTTAAAGATTTTGGTGGGTTAAAGTTTTTATTGGGTTGTAATTACACTGTCTCTGATAAAGCTTTCAGAGTTCTCTCAGCAGGCCTTATTGTCTTGGAAATTGTGTTATGTTCACAATTTTTCACACAATAATTTTATCATTTGGAACAATATTACTGTTAACAACAAAAGTATCCATGAAGAGGGCTGGATTGAAAGGGGTATAATCTTCATTATAAATCTGTTCAATGATAAAGGTACCATTTATAGTATATTTATAGAATTTTTTCATAAAAAACAAATCCTTCCCCGTCAGATATAAGTAATTTGTTTCAGTGGTAAGACTCATTCCCATGGGTATAGTTTAATTGATGAGATGTCATTTAGCCCAGCAGGATAAGGTTGTTCAGCTCCCTTCACTGGAAGTAGGTGGAATTAAATAAACAGACATAAAATGTACAAAGAAACATTAACAATAGGTGCTTCAAAACCAAAAGATTTCCTCTAAAGGAAATTTTTTTTTGAATTCTGAACTTTTTACACAATATTTACCCATATAACAAATTAATTTCCAAATTAATAAATATAGAACATTTGTGGAGTTGAGCCAGAAACAAATATTAATTTGTTCTGTCATTTTCCCTCCTCCTCTGTCTTTTGGGGAGACAGAACAATTTATTTATAACAAGACTAGCCAAACTGTAACAATTAGACCTAAAGATATTATAACTAAATTTGAATGTAATAACAAGCCCCGTAGTTTCATAATCAATGTTTTAATTATAATAGGAAAAGCCCACAAACATAAACCAAAAATCTCCAAATCTTTACCAAATTACACCTTTTTAATTGAATTTAATATACACATAGAAATACTTGAATATACAACCAACAAAAAAAGCAAAACACACTCACATATTTTGATATATTCTCTCTGTAGCCCCTGATTAAAATGATTGACCAGTGCTTAATTTCTGCAAATTTATTTTCATTATTACATTTTATTATTATTATTTAAGTGTTTTGTGTGTGTGTATATATATGCATGTATGTATGTGTCTGTATATATATTTTATATACTTTTTGCACATTTGATATTATCTGATGTCTGAAATTTATATTTGTACAATGTTCAATAAAAATGAGAGAGAAAATTTTTTTAGTGTGTGGTATGTTGTTCAATTCGATGGAGTTAATGAGGTGGGGGTGTGGTGGGTGTTCTGTTGTTGCTGTGTGACCCTAATGTTAAGGGTGAGGGCGGGGTGGTGACGTCACTGAGCGGCAGGAGCGCCAACCGGACCAAGAAAGATTGGGAAAACACGTTTTTCATATGCTACTGTTCCTGAGAAAATGTCCACCCTCCAGACACTGAAAACTTTTATCAACCAGCGGCTCGCCGTAGCTGTGGAGGAGATCTTCGGGCTGCTGGAAACAACCATTTCAAACTACGAGGAGGAGATTAATCGCCAGCGGAGGCTGCTGGAGGATGAGAGGTCCGAGTTCCGGACCAACAAAACAGGTTAGAGAAGTTTCTGTGAACCGGTGTGACTCTGGGTTTCAGTGATGACACAGCACTGGGTTCAGCTTCTATCTAAACTGAATGACAGAGCAGCCGGAGCTGTGTTCCTGCAGCATTTCACAAAACGTCGTTCAGCTTCCCGCCGCCGCGTCAAGCCGAAACAAGTTAAAGCTGGAAGTTGAGTATTTAAGGCCTTCAACGTAAAAGCATTAAAAAGAGACAAAGGCATGCTGTGTTCTTGTTAAGTGAAAGCTCCCGTTCATCATTTTCACACAATATGTCGTTATTTTTAAGTCAGTGCCAGTATCACACACTGCCATCAATGTCACCCCTTCTAAACTGTGATCTTTGGATTTGTTGTGAAGGGGATGACACCGGAAGTAATTCCGAACCTCCGAAAATCTTAAAGACGACATTAAGTTACGTTTATTAGACATAAGAGGAGACACACGTTTTTCGGAAACCAGTGTCTGAAGGAAGAGGTTAACTACAGTGTCTGGAGAGATTGTTTTCCAGCAGGAGACGTGGGGAATGAGTGGGGAGGAGGATAACTGAAGAAAAGATAGTTTTGGGTATAATCTTTGGGAATACTGTGACTTTTTGTTATTCTTTCAGGCACTGACAGTGTATGGTCCATATAATGACGTCAGCAGGATATAATCAATTTGTTGTCACCACTGTAATGATCAATGAATCCAGCTGTGTATTTGTGTATTTGAGGACTGAAATGGGCTTTAGTCTCTATTAAGATGCTCTAAAACCACATGATCCTAATTCCCATGATGCATCTAGTAGCATATTTTCGTTAGATAGTCCTGACCAGTAAAATACCAATTGTCTTTAAACTACATGTAAATAATAAGTATTTAATGCTTTCTGTTTTAAAATGTGTACCCTGTGAGTCCAAGCTGAGTTAACCCAGATTACATCACTATGGCTTTATCAAGGTTAAACTTGACATTTGACAAAGCTCTTCCAGGGCCACAGAGACATTATACAGATTGAGACTGGCATTTATGTAAATAAATAATAAATAAATAAATCTGTGGAATGTTCCTTTAAATGTGATAAATGCAGCTTTCTGTGCATCCTGAACATCCACAGTTGAACTGAAATCACTGGCTCTCTGCTGTAGTTTAACCTTCAGAGCATTTACAGACACAGCATTTATGATAATCCTCCCTCCCCATAAAGCTCAAACGGTAATATGGAAGATTACAACACTGAAACAACTTTGGCAGATCACAATGCATTCTGGGAAGGTAAATGAAAGTTAGATTATTCTTACATGTCACCAGTAGGAGATTTACTGGAATAAATGTAGTGGATTTGACAAAAAGCTAAAATGTGCAGACAGTTCAAGAAGTAGTTCGATGAGACTCTATCTCCAAACTCCCATCAGCAGTTGGAGCACTGTGTGCACTTCACCCTGCATCAAAGATCAAAGCTCCTGCACATCAAACCACACAAATAATAGGACAATAACCTCACAGACATGTCTGTATGTGTCCCACAACAAAGTAGCTACACTGAAATCGGAAGATCACTCTGCTCCATTCCACTCTCCTTCTCAGTTTTCAAAAAATTGAAAATATTTTAAAAGTTGTTAAGTTGTCTTTGTTTTATTTGAAAATTTGTGCAAGTTTTATTAACAACACAATATGTTTGTATATGCAATTTCATGATGAAAGTTCACCAACAGTTATTCAGTCTCCATACAGTCTCCATACTTTAGCTACGCTGCTTATCCTTCAATGTGGCAGGGGGGTTGGAGCCAATCCCAGATGACACTGGGCAAGGCGGGGTACACCTGGACAGGTCGCTTGTCTATCACAGGGCTGACACACATGCCCTATGAACTTTAATTCATTTCCTATTAACATTATATTAAAACATAATATGATTATGTAATATCCTAAACCTGACAACACTAATGAGGTGTACTGTATGTGGATGTGTTTTAGCTTCTGTAGGCAGCTGTTTGAACCTGTGCCCTCCCCGTCCAGCACCAGAGTGAAGTTTAAAGCTCCATATTCTCCTCTTCTTCTGTGTTTTATTTATTTTATTAAGAAGATATATTTGTGGTTTTAAGAACCAAAAACCATCTCAATGTAGTTTTACATCTCCTCTCTCAGGCTTCTCTCTGGAGCTCCAGTAACAACAGGTCAGTCAGCCAATCAGAAGAGAGGAGGCTCTGAGCCTCTCTTCTGGTTTCTGGTTTCGAAGTGATCCTATAAAAATATAGCAGATTTCAGCTAAACACTCAGAGAAATCGAATCTTGGAAGGTTGGATGGATGGTGGGCAGGGATTGGGGCGGGGCTGAGGGCGGTGACAGCTTTGTTGTCACATCACAAAGTTCCAGAAGTCCTGACGGCTGGTTTTAAGGCTCAGTTTCTGAATACAGGCTGTGTGCATTTCTCTGTGGACTGAGGCTTTGATACTTTCACAGTATTAATA